AGGTTGCTCCAGAACAAGTCTACAAAAGGAGTAAATTGCGATTTTCTTCACATAGTTTCTTTAAGCTCGATAAATTAGATCTAGAAATGCTCTAACTTCTTTGAACTGTCTGAAAAATATACTTCCGATAAAACCTACTATGCAAATTTGGAGAATGAATCAGTCATCAGTCAATCAGTTGGTAGTCGACTTCGTTCCCATTGAACGTGTGGATGGTAGAGATATAAATCAATTTGTTATCGCGGTTAGTTTAGGTTACGTTAGATGGCTGATCCCTTGCATCACTCTTAGACTATTATGTTCAGTTCATTGTGATGCCCAAAAGAAAAACCTCTTGAAGTTCAAAATCCGCAAAAACGAACTCAATACAAATCTGCTTAGGTGTTTTATTTCTGCTTCCGCTATTACAATTGGATGTCTAAAAAGTGAGATCTGAAGCGTTTTTGCCTTGATTTAGCAAAAGCGATACATTCAAGGAGAAAGTATCGAAATGATTCTAGTTCATATTTTTCGAAAATCTGATGCACCTTACATTCGGTAATATATCCAATCGTATGAATCCCAATCGGAAAGTGTCCTGTTGGAACACCAAAAACCATTGAGAGGAGAACTAAGCTGAAGAAGAGAGTTCCATAGACTTGTTACGATTTGCCCTTAGACAGAAGAATTTTGGGACTGTACTGTTGTAGCCATCAAGGGCTTATTAATTTGGTTTCAGACCCAACAGTCCACAAGAAAACGGAGTCCTTATCTGTTCCCATTCCGCTGTTATTGAAAATGAAGTACTTGTCCTGGCAAGCTCCTCAGCCTTACAGTTCCTGGCAATATCGATTTGGCAAGGTACTCAAACCAGTATAATCACCAAATAACTCGATGCTACAGATAAGGAATCTAGGCATCATTTCATCAGTCTTGAGCCCACAGTCATCGAACTCAAGACCAATATCGCTGGCCAACTATCGGAATGGATAGTCACCACACTGAAGGAGGCTGCACGCCGACAGCCTAAAACTGGTGCTGATGGAAAATTACCGACAAAATATTCTTCCCCCAATCTTCCCCGCAATCTTTAATCATTCCGTAAGAAAGCTCACCAACCTTATCCACCAGTCAGTCCTCCCCTCTCATGCATTCATCGAAGGAGGGTGAACGGAGAGGAGACAGCTAGGGTTATGTCCGGGGAACTCAAGTATCCTGAAATGAGACCAAAGTTTGCGCGGACTCCAGAGTGCCTAGGCTCTCATGCATTTAAGTACCTAGAGTATCTGAGCTTTACGTCAGGTTATGTGATCACACACGTCTCGTTTATGTCCACCGGTGCTATCTACAGCAAGACATTCAGTGAAATAGTTGCTGCGGTTCGTGGTGCATTACGAATATTGATAAGAGCAACCCGTCGTACACTCGCCTATTTTTTCGTGATTTTCGTCTTTTCCAGAACCTTCCACAAAACAAAGATTCCGTTGATGATTTTAGGGATAGCAGAGGTTTCATAGAGCCAGAGAACTACGTTCTCTAATAAAATCCCTTACTTATACCAATGGAAAAGTACCGGGCAACCGATGCCTTACATGCTCTTTCCTCGATGTTAGGTTTTCACGAGAGATTCCTGTCTTGTATGAGGCGTATAGTACTTAACTCTGTCAGCAGGCTGAAGACGTGATCAACCTATTAATGGTAGATGTGCCTCCCGTATTTTGTACTTCCTAGTGAATAAAGCGAGTTCGGCTTTGCTAGGATTTATGGAAAAGTCGTTTACAGCCGCCCAGTTCCTAACGATACCAAGAATCCCCACAGTTAGCTCATATACGGTATTCAGCAACCGATTTCTTCAAGCTTTTCCAGAAGATCACTGACAACCACGATCTAGAGAAAGGGCGAGAGTACTATTCACACTACGTTGCGACCACGAACTGTCTGTCTCCACTAACATCTTTCTTGTTATGTTGTTATCATAGAGAAAGATTACTTTTTTCTTCACCAAATGGAGTGAGTTTCTTCTGCAATTTTTCCTCAAATCGATCTTTTTAACCGTTATGCTCTTCTCTAAGTAGCTGATGGAGTTCACAACTTTCAATTCCTATCGAACGGTGACCATCATCTTTACTATCGATGGCAACCACTATTCGACTCTTCATTAGTATCTGGTGCTTTCGATTGAAGCCATATTTCGCTATCGCTTACGAAACAAAGTATAAATTGCTTTAGATCCAAAAATGTTCTTTTTCAGTTCAGTTTCCATACAGTAAATTTCAGACCATCAATTTTAGTTGAAATTTAAAAAAAAATTTAAATTAAAACAAAAATCATTTTAAAGCCTCTCAGGGGCTTTGTAGAAGCTTTCATATATTGTAAATAAAACGTACAACATCTGCACACATATTATACATTGTTTCTTAAATGCCCGAAAATACAAAATATGTTTATATAATATAAATAAATCAATATGTGTTTGTATGCGTGTAAGTGTTTTCGTGCTTCCACGCAGTGTTTGCTGGTACCAAAAATGACCACATACAAAACAACAACAACACAGAAGTAAACAGATATCAAACAAAAACTGGAAGCCAGTCAAGCAAGCAATGGGCGTATAAGTAACATATCACAGGCGTTGCATGGGGCGCAGTGCATGCTACGCAGTGAAAGCATGTGTAAGTGTGTGTATGTGTGTGTGTGGGCTGTTGATAAATGTTGTTAAAGTTACTTTTTGCGCTTTTACCGTTTTTTTGGTTGCGCAGCTGTCCATTGGTATTGTTTTCACACACACTTTACTCACATTGCAAATGCGGACGTTTGCTTTTGCCGTTCTGTCATTGAAATGATCATTGCTGCAAATTGCTAAACTTTATTGTGGCGAAATTAAAGTAGCAATAAATATTGTATGTGACCACATTGAGAGCATTATGCGCACATGTAACTACATAACGGATATCCGTTACGCCGCCTGTTGATATTGCTTTCAATCTTCGTCCTACAAAGAAGGAATATATTTGAGTTGGAATTTTTTGATATTTTGTATTGAGCTTTATCCCATAGTGCCTCAATCTGAATAGTTTCGTCGGAGATTGCAGTGCTGCCTTGGGCTATAATACATACTAAAGATTTTAAAGATATATCCTCAAGTATAACAGTTTTCAATACAAACACTCGATTCCAGATTGGCCGATCCGATAAATAAGCGGCACCTTGAAGAGAAAAAAGTTTAAGATCTTCTTCTGTTTCATCTGTCTTATCCCCTTCCTGTTGTGGTCGATACGAAGTGGGCTACGAAGTAGACAGGCTGTTTTCTCTCTACTCCAACACGCTACTTATCATATTCCTTTGCATTTTCCGAAAACCAATGGTTTCGTTTGCCGTTGGACGTAAGAAGTTTGAAATCCTCGTCCCACAGTTCCCTTATACCGAGTTGCTTACGAGTGCTCTCAGAGAGCAGGAGTGCAAGTCGAGTAGAAAATCGTTTGCTTATCTGTTGTGTGTTTTGCTGAACAAAGGCGAGTGTGTATCTTGGCTGTAACAAGATAGTGATCCAAGTCAATATTAGAACCTCGTGGGGTACACACATCTAAGACACTGGAGACCTGTCTTCTGTCTATAACAACATGATCGATCTGGTTGGTGGCTTTTAAAACCTGGAGACTGCTAGGTAGCTTGGTGAATTGTCCTATGCTGGAATCTAGTACTACAAATAACCACATTTCGAGCTTCTGCGAAGTCGATTAGCTAAAACCCATTTGGGGATGTTTCATATTGGAGGCTGAATTTACAGACCGTTGTGGCAAAGATACCTTCGTTGCCCATCACGGCGTTAAAGTCGCGAAGCACGATTTTGACATCGTAGCGGGGAAAGCTTTCTAAGCGCTCAGAGAAAGCATCTTTGGTCACATCGTCCATCCACTGCAATTAATGCCAGGACTCGCCGCCGGAGTCTCTCTTACACCGAATTCGCGCTCCTTTATATGGGTACTGTAGTAAATGCCACAAGCTCTTACTCGCCTCAGTCCTTTTTCCATCCATCGCACTTCTTGGACGGTATCGATACCAGCCTTTACTCTTCATAGGAAATCAACCATCTGCGCAAAGGCACCTCCCAATTAAGGGACCTGAAATTCCAGGTGCATGACATTAAATCGCAATCCTTAATGCGCTTGCCGTGATCGTCATCAAAAGAGGAATTTATTTCTTATACGAGACTGTTTCCTTTTTATGGGGGTCATTATTTACGTGGAGGGTCCAAAATCCAGCACACAACCCTTGGGAGGGAATGTTCGCCTTCACACTTTAGCTCGCCTTCAAATGGATATTCTTTGGCTATCCAGAGGTTGAGTCTCTCCAAGATTTTTCCACACTTGCTTGAACTTCTACACATAACTCAATCTGACAGTTTGTATCTCAGAACTGAGGGACCAGTTCGGGTACATATATACAGACAGACGGACAGTTAGACGAACATGGCCTAATTGACTTATCTCGTCATTCTAATCATTTAAATATACATACTATATTATAATATCTTCGACGTTTCCTTCTGCACAAACATCATGGCCAACTTAATATACCCTGTTAAAGGTATAATACTATTTTTTTTTTTCTTAATTATGCATATGCATAGATATATTGGTGTGTGTATGTGTCTACAGCAGTAGAACTGGTTGAAAAAGCGAAAGGAAATGGGATATTTTTGTTATAGTTCAACATTTGCGCTCAGCCCTTGGGTGGGTGTGTGTCCGGACGTGCGTGTCCTTGACATCGCTAAGGTTCTAGTATTTTTGTCTGTTCTCAACATTGCTCCTCTTCATGCTCTGCATTCTTCTTCACGCTGAACACATAAATTTTATATTCAGCGTGAAGTCGTTCAACAGTCAATGATTTACGACTTTCGTCACACTTGACGGTAAACAGCTGTATATAAATATATAAATATATATATATAGCGCTCGCATTTATTGGATTTAATTTTATTTTTATTGTTATAAATTTTTATTGCTTTCCGCTCTTTGCAGGTTATTTTCCGCTCAGCTCGTTGTGGTGTCTCGCTTGGATTTGTCTGGACGTGCTCTTCTGCACGGCGAGTATAATGCATCTCTGCACCATTTCCGTGGATCGGTTCTTTTCGCTGGCGTTTCCCATGCGTTTTGGTCGGAATAAGACAAGTCGGCGTGTTTTTTTGAAAATCGGTCTGGTATGGTTCCTATCGGTAGCAACGAGTTTGCCGTTATGCTTAATGTACTCGCAGGTGAGTAACTAAATGAACTTTATAGAAACAATTTCGAACAAAACTTGATTTCCTACAATATGACAAATCCGATATAAGAATGGTCGAAATCGCGTCACACCCTTCTCTAACTTCAATATTTCTGTAGAACTCCTACGGACCATTGAACTGTGACCCACAGGATAACGTTCTTGGATTTGGTTTCATAGCCGTGGTCTTCTGCGACCTTAATATGTTGGGATGATACGGATATTCTACAGAAAATACTGGTGGGTTATTGCCAAGACTGCCTCGGTGCCTTTAACACCCCGACAGGCCTCAGCATACGTTCGCCTCCCATTAGCATTAAGTTGATATGGTAAGTACAGGTTGAGACAACTGCCTCATAAGTACGAGCGTCAGCCTCACCTTGACCTCATCATTGAGAAAACCTTAGGACCATAAAAGACGACTACCTTTCCGGGAGGTGGATAGCGGCTCTGACCGGGGGCCTCCTTTAGGATGGAAGCAAAAACTGCAATAAAAAAGGACGTGGGAGGAATATATCTCTTCATAGACAGACGTAGACCCGGGCGAGTGTACACTACTAAGAAAGACGAAACCGTTTTCCGATAAAGGAAATGTAAGAACACAGGTACGACACGAAATGTAGCGAAAGGTTAGGATCACGGGGTGTCCAGATGCCACTGCAATTGACAAGGATTCCGGAAAAAATACGTCACGGAAGCAAAAAAGCAACGAAGAACTTAGAGCGCTATAGTGCAGAAATGCTAGACGGGAATCTGAAATGCATGCTAACACACTCGAGGAGACTAAGAGAGTGCTGAGCGGCGAAGATAAAAACAGAGGAGGATCGAGCTATTCGCGAGCTGTCTTAAAGCGACAGAGGTCGTAGGAAGTGTGAGCCTCCACAGATAAGAAACCACAGAAAGGAGCGGGAACGTGATGGCTCTATTGAACTTTAGGTATCAGACCATAGCAATGAGGATGGAACTATCACCAGCGATGAGTAGAAACGAGTATATCTGCAATCTTTACGATGAGGTGGAATAGCATTGTAGTGTCTTTCAAGCAGAAGTTTCAGCAATTAGGGTATCAGCAAATGTATTTCAATGAAATGCAGCTATTTTGTGCGATATGTATCTACTCCGATTGCAGAACTCCTTTATAGGCCTTGAGCCCGCTAAAAGTGAGCTCAAAGCAGAACCGAACAATTTGAAACTTCACAAGACCTTTCTAAATTCTATTTGGCAGTAAATAATTTCTGACTTTCAAGTGAATAAAACCTCTTAACTTAAATTATTCAATAACCATTTTTTTACTTGTATTTAAAGCGATATCCGTACAGAAAACGAAGTAAATATTTTATTTTGTATGGAACTTGTCTATACGTTGCCAATTCTCTCATTTTTTTCTCTTTTACCTATTCACAGAATCACGCTTCGGTGTTAATTAACGGTACTTGTCAGATACCGGATCCTATTTACAAATTAGTTGGATCGATAATTTGCTTTTACATTCCACTCTTCGTTATGCTACTCACATATTGTTTGACCATACGCCTCTTGGCGAAGAAAAGTCATAACCTTGGCGGCATGTGTCAACCGCAACCGCCCGGCTGGGCGAGCACTTGGCTTGGACAAAGCAGCGCGTTCGGTAAGTTGCACTAAGAGAATTGAAAAAAATTATAAAAAAGCATAAACAAAAAATAATTATTATTAAAGCATATGCAACTATGTCATTTTATTTGACTCAAAGTTTTTAAGAAAATGCTTCTGTACGTCATTGGGACAGATGGAGAAACCGCAAGCAAGATGTAGCTTGGAGGAATAAGAAATCAATACAATAAATAACAGTTTTACAAATTTTGACTAGATCAATCAAATAATCATACTAAATATTGACTCACTAATAGCGAGAGAATGTCATAACCAGAGTTAACATTTTCTCGCTACCTTTGGAAAGTCTTCGTATATAGGAGTATGGCTGTATGTTTCTTTTAGCGACTCGCTCTGTAAAACATTCTTCCCGTTAATTAATGAATGTCATAAGCATCCTCTCTTTTCAAAATGTGATGCAAGTACCAACTGATCAAATTTCATCCGGACTGAAGTAAACAAAAAAAAACTTTTTCGAGTATTGAGTACAAATCTTTCTTATTACCTTCAAAACAGACTCCTTTTGAATCAATACTAGCACGCCCACGATATATTAAATTTTCTTTACACTTTTCATAAGCCACGGCTGGAATGGCCTTCAGTTAGAGTGGATCGATTAGATTAGAGCCAACGATTTTTAAGCCGAAGTTTAAAAAATCAGTTTTATGGGAGAAATGTGCTAATTCCGACAAAAGATCAATAGAATACCAACAAGTTCAATTTGTATGGTAGCTATATGTTATAGTGAGCCGATCTGAACCATTTCTTCGGAAATTACATTGTTGTCTTACAATATAACCTATGCCAGCATTTGTGAAAATACATTGCCAAATGTGAAAGTTTTCCATACAAGAGCTTGATTCCTATCGTTCAGTTTGTATGGTAGCTATATGTTATAGTGGTCCGATATCAGAGTTCCGACAAATGAGCAGCTTCTTGAAAAGAAAATAATGTTTACAAAATTTCAAAAGAATATCTTAAAAACTGAGTGACTAGTTCGTATATATACAGACAGACGGACAGACAGACAGACCGACATGGCAAAATCGACTCAGCACAACATAATGATCATTTACATACATTACAAACTTCGTGACAAACTTAAAATATCCTGTTCAGGGTATTAAAAGCATTTACGTATTGAATATCATTTCGCCATCTTCAAAACTGACCGTTTAGTGCCTAAAAAACTTAGCCTTTAATATAAATGACGTTTCAGAATGATCCATGGGGCATATTTCGCTAACATTTTGGCTCTCTGAAAAACTGAAATGGAATTGCACATTCCCTGAAGCGAATATTTCAGTTGCGGTAACAGAGAGAAATCACAGGGAACCCATTTTGGACAAAACGCTGGCTGAGCAACGTGTTTTGTTTCGTTTTTGGCCATAAGGGTGTTAGAAAGACACAGTGCATTATCGTCCTAAAAAAATCCATGAGATTTCTCTTCTTAAAATGGCGAAGCACAATTCTCTACTGACCGTTTAACCCCGTGGAATGAATTCATAGTGAACCATACCACGGTTACTAAAGAAATCGATGAACATCGCCTTGATTTTTGCCGGCATTTCATGTGGTTTTTAGGTTTCGACTCATTTTAGAGCGTCACTCGCTAGAGTTTTCGACAGTTGCGATGTCATATTCATAAATACACCTCGTCTCGTCTCGTCAACAGTAATGCGCTTGTTGAATTTTGATCTCTCAGTTACATTCGTTGTCAAGCAATGCTTTTGCGACCTACTCAATGTGTTTTTTTCATAACTTCATACCAAAAACAATAACCAAAACGGTTTGAGTCGATTTTTAAGAGATGAGTAGAACCTTCAGTATTTCTCTGATGCCAATACGACGAGCTGCAAGTACTGTTTCTTTGACTTTTACGAAGTTATCGTTCTTAACAGAGTTGGATATACGACGCGCAAGTGAGGCAAGATTTTGATGATTTTACGACTTACAAAATTTAATGTTGTATCTATTCAGGAAAACACTTTCCTTCATTAAATACTACTCGAAGAGAACTTCCAACCCTTTCCGAAGTATAGCGGAGTAGTGAAAAGTCTGAAGTGCCAGAGCTGCACGAATTATATACTATTTCATTCTCCCCCTCAAGCACAGCTCTTCATTTTGATATTCGGCATCGGGTATAAGTTAGAGTACCTGTTCAAATTATTGCCGTTAGTGTTTCAGATATATAATGGTTAGTGACTGTTGATTATTTCAAGTGAGCGCTGCATAATCTAAACTTTGGAGACTTGAAGAAATATCGCAGCTTCAAAGATGCCTTGCCTTACTATCTATCTATTTCCTTGTAGTCAATTGTAAACATGAGTGCCATGCTTAGCAATCACTAGTCTGTCGCTGAAGAACTCAGCAACAACAAAATATATTAACTATGTCAATACTTGGCCACTTTCCTTATATTCACGAACTTCGGTAATTAGTACTGCGTAAAAACTATTTTAAGATTCTTCTATTTTGAAACGAACAATAAATCAAAAATATAATAAAGTCTCATTTAGAATTCATTAAAATTCAAATTGACTGCTTAAAATAAGTGCAGTTAACAAATTCTCCAACTTTTACCTTATAAGTACAAGTAAATTCGTAAACTCTTATCCCACTGAACAAATAAATTATACAAAAGTTTATTTTCGAACTTGTCAATTGTCGTGTATGCGGTCGCTTACTTCAAGGTCAACCAACTGATACCTTCTCCAAATAGAAATCGATATTCGTGTGAACGCACAGTACCTAGCATGTGTAGTTCCATAGTTACATATGTACAGTGGTGTGAGCGCTGTTGACAAGCAAAACCTTTTAAAATCCATTATTATTGCTTAATGGAAAATATATTCAAATATAATTCAAAGTTGCAGCTGAAGATATGCTCAAATGCATAAGTATGTATGGTATATATATAAGTATGCATATATATAGTATTGCCCTTGAAGCACAAGAATCTATTCGACTGGGAAGTGGGAGGCGACAAATACTCTTAAAAATTGCAGACACATTTTCCTGTCGAACAATGAATTTATTTGTAGTGCATTCTTATTCGTTTAGATATAAATTTATGATATTGAGGAGTAATCGATCGATGTAACCAAAATGGGCGGTTGCATATAGAAATATATTTCATCAATACAACGGCTTCTTTATTATTTTCATACAAAAGCAAGTCCTATAATCAGATATGAGAACGATGACCGAACACGGACACTGTTTTAGTAATATTTTCTTCAAATGGTCTGTAATAAACGGACAAGATTTCATAAAAAATTTCAAGAAAATTGTGTGCAATTTGTAGTTTCCACTTTTTTTGGTGCTTTCAGAAAGTTTTCCTTTTTTTAATAATATGTGAAATGGTCATAGTTTGCGGTGGCTTAACGGAAACTAATGAGATAATTGTCATTAATCACACTGCATTTACATATACACATATAAATATAGTTCTCCGTCTTTGCTCCGTTTTCCACAATTTTTTAATTAGCCAGATTCTTCCATGCAGATTTTTTTTTTTTTTTTGAATACATTCTAAATAAAGCGTGATGCTAAGTTGTCTATTTTATCAATCAACACCCTGCTTCATTGTTCGAAAGTCCTTGTGGAGAACTCACCTAGCACCACCAATCTTGCAGCTATTTTCCTAAACTCAAACCATAACTTTATGAAATCTAGAATTCGACAGCCTATGAGCATACATCTAAAAATTCCCATATAAACAAAATGACTCCAAAATATTAAGCTACAAAGCTCTATACTGAGGAAATCTGCATTGAGATAATTAAAAATTAAGTCCGTCAGAAATATGAAAAAAAACTCTAAAAAGTGGACTGTGAAGACATCTGGCAACTTTTGTCGAAAGGGAAAACTGTACAAATATAGAGTGTTACAATATTTCGTGAAATTAATAGAGAATACTCGATATTTATATTTCGTTGCAACAGTTTTTTTGGAGCGACAACTTGCATTGACCTTACCCATCACTCACTGCATTCCTAAAGCCTGCCTGTATAACAGGAAATTCTATTTCCTCCATAATCCGCACCAAAGCAGCATTGAAATGTCAATCTAGTTGCATATTACTAACTGATTGCCTGCTGGACTTGCTGGCTTAAATGTTAGACTGGCTTTAACGTAAGCTCTACACATATACTTTTTCGCTTACAACGGAACGTTGAATCCACTTTCTTTTTTGCTCAAAGCATGTAAGCCTAAATTGCTATGCTATATCGGTATCGCATAGCTATGCTCATACAAGTATTACATTCATATACATGTGATCCAGTTGGTTGGTTTCGTCCTAGACGCTTTTTTTGCTATAGAAGTTGCGAGAAGGATTGTGCGAAGTGCTTTAAGCTTTACGGCGTAGAGATAATCTGCGTGACATGCATGTAATTTGCTCGCCTTTCCGCAGTTTGGCTGCCTATTATATAAAAGGAGATGTGCAGTAGCCAAGAGTTTCGAGTCAACAAGGCAATAAATGTATTACAGGCGATAATGCTAAAGGAATCGTTGGCAGGTTTGTGGCTTCAATGGCAACGCTAACTTCCGCATTGATAACATTAGAAGCTGCTAAAGTGTAAACATGATATAAAAGCGCATGCACAGTGAGAAAATATGGAGATGTGAATAGCATATTTTTAAGCAAAACTCTGTGAGGTATTCGATCTCTCACTTTCCATTTTAGTGCAAAAAGGTATAGTAAAGAAAATTCTTGAACTAATGGATATATAATATTTAATCGATTGTTCTGTAAATAGATAGATAGTAAAGATTGACTGCCACTTACCCCCTCCCCTATATAACATATGGTCACCAAGGTTCAGCATATTGGACAATTCGAGGAGCCTGCTAAGCGCAAATGAGGTGATGTAATCCCTGTTCACATAAATGGAACCTAGGACCTTTATTGTATTTTGTATCCTTTCCGTAAATCCACTAATTCAAGTCAATTACATGAGATATACCTAATATCCTTGATCTCATCATAAACCGATGGTTACATGATTCGATTTATTAGTTGATTATTTGAGTTGAGTATGAGACTCGTGTCCCGTATGTCAACAATAGAGAGATCGGCAACGCCTTTGCTAAAAACTATTTCATTATAAATCCGAGCAAGACCGAACTGATTACCGGAGACGCATCATCAATGTGAGGAACGCGTCTTCGGTCTAATGACAGGGTTAATTATGTGCTTGTGACCAAGTCTTAGCTGTCTTCTCTGCTCACATTCTTTCGATTGAAGTGTGGGAGGGAATGATTCGCTGGAGGACAGGTGCGGTGAGTTTTTCTACGGATGAGTCAAACGTTGCTCTTAGGGTTGGTGGAGCAGTACACATACGGGAACTTTCCATTAGCTTTAGTTTTAAGCTTTCCGAACAGTAGCGGAGGTGGCTACCTCGCAGCCTCGAGATTATGATCTTTTATGATTAGATTGGTTTTCAGTACTTGGCCATAGCGGTACTGCAAGAAACTATAAGGCTTATGAACTTTCTTGGACAGGTACTCCAGTCTGAATAACTGCGGAAAGGGAAGGGGTAGGAGCTGCGTTGGCATCCTGTGGTTCACCCATGATAAGAGATCTAGGAAACTACTCGCTTTCAGCTACGTTCACCTTTCAGTTTTTGTAGGAATTCTAACTGGGCACTGTTCGTTCCGAATTAGTGCATTAAAGTGGAATATCTTAACAAACGCGAGCTGTAACAGCTGTTGGCAAGAAGATGAGATATCATCTCAACACTTCCTCCCGCTTTTGTCAGATCAAGTCAAAAACACCTCGGATCTCAAGTTGAGATAGCAGAAAAACAAATAAAACAACCGAGCAGATTTGAGCCAGGTGAAGGGCGGATTGTATCCAGAGAAAATTACGGTTTGATGCAGTTTATGGGTCGGCGTCGTCATTGGGCCGTACTTCTTCCGTGATGATCAACACCGGCACGTTACTGTGAGTGGGGATCGCTACCGCTCAACGATAACCGAATATTTTTGGACCGAATTGGATGAAATGAATTTGGACAATATGTGGTTCCAACAGGGCGGCATCACAAGCCACAATCGATTTATTGAAAACCAAGTTTGTCGAAAGTGTTATCTCACGAAATAACCCAGTCAATTAGCGGACTCGTACGTGCGATTTGACGCCGTTAGACTCTTTTTCCTGAGGGGCTATGTCAAGTTTATGATCTATGTCTGCAAGCCAGCGACAACTTCGTACGAGTATCGAACGTGAAATTGAGGCAGTATCGGATGATTTTTGCTTTACAACGGTCAATAATTGGGTTCAGCGTCTGAATAGCATCGAATGCAATTTCACAGGAATGAAAAATTTCCCAAACGGTTTCTGTTTCATTTAAAAAAAATACTTATCTAAATTTAACAGTTACTGAAATAATATTTATACTCGTATAATCAAAACTTGCTCACAGTGTACAAATTGCTTGCTGCCAGCTGTCCAGCGTGTAAATGTTTCACTATTATATAAAGTTATATAAGTCTACAGGTATGCAAGCAACGTGGCAGCTGTCAGTTCGCAGTTTAGTTGACGTGTCAAATCCACTTAAAGCTATTTTCAGCGCTGTGAGTTACTAAGCTAACGACTGCCAGTGACTACTTCGCAAGACACATGCCGGCATTCTATAGAAGTTAAAAGTTGACAGTAAACAAGCTCATCTCAGGCGACAACAATGCCTGGCTGCCAACGCCAACAATATTAGTAAAATATTTCTACGTTGGTGACTTGCCTCAAGTCAATTCACTTGGCTATTTGCCTTAAATGATGTCGACAATATTTAGTTTGTGGTCCGAGCGCCAAAAATATTTGAGTTCACTGTTTGGGATTTCTTATTTACTTTTTGGTTGGCCAAATCAAATATTGTTGCGTTTAAACTGCTGTGTTAGAAGATACGTTAAGGATATTGTGTAACCAAAATGTTTTTTTTTTTTATACTAAATTTCTCATGCTTTTATTTGCAGAACGCCGTCGCACATGGCGACGTTTCCTCAGACCGAGCTCGACCGCAGTGACACAATCGGCGCAATCGGCCAACTCCACCGACACCGAGTTGTCCACGCTGGACACACACGAACTGTGGCTAGCCGAATCAAAGTGAGTGCATGCATGTGCGTCCCATGGGACCAACTGCGTTTTCCTACACTATTTGATTAAAGTTTTCACAATTTTCATTTCATTATTGCTTTTTTCAACGTGCGCCTCTCTCTTTCTCTTCTCTTTTTTCCATTTATTCTAATTTCCGCGCTACATCAGCACTACGGAGCCGACAGCGACCACCATGACGGCGCTGCAGCAATTCGGTGCCGAAATGTTGAAGCTGTCGCGTGGCCTGGAATCAGTGGCTTCCTCTTCAACTACCTGCTCGCCAACCAAATCCGAATTTTCATCAACAAATCACTTCACCAGCTGTAGTCCGCAGCACTACTCGGCCAACAAGCAGTCCAATCAACAGCAGCAGCATGTGAGTGGGGAGCATTTACAAATACCCACAGCGGCGCTTGCGGCCGGCACGGCGAATAGTACGCTGCTGCTGCGCGGCACAAGTTTGCGTCGGAGCGCGCGCAGAGGACGTAAAAGGTAAGCAAATGTTGGTGGCATATTTGTTTTTGAATATTTGGGAAGGTTAAAAGCAAAGACGGCGCAAAATTTCAGCGGCGGCAATAAATAATCATAATGCAGGGTGTTTCTTTTTGGTTTGAATTGTTTACTGATCAAAACCTGAACTTTTGAAACTCTACAAAACGGAGAATATATCTGTAGATAATTTTCGTTGTATTGTTGCCTAATGGAAAAGATAATGGAAAATACTATCTCTACCGACCTGAAGCATAGGTTTCCTTGGAAGAAATTGTGTTGAAATTCGGGTTTGCGCCCCAGATATATTTTTCGTTTTACAGCTGTCTGGGAAATGATAATTGAAAAAATGATGGATCTAAAGCATGGGACTCCTAAGATATGATTTCTGTCGAAACTCAGCCTCATGTAGATTCTCAAATATATTCGTCGTTGCACAGTTAACTCGGAAAGAAAACTCTCTACGATCCTAAAACATATGATTTGTCTGCCTTCTATTAATAAAAATATACTTAAATATTTACTTTTTATTGTCATAAGGCCGCGAAACCCAAAGGTAGAAACCTTATAAAAGAACCATCGCATGCCATGCAACAGAAACATTGCCTCCAGAAATTGACTGTTTAGAAGGGGAGTTCCAAATATGCAATAACTCGATGGACATAAATTCTAGAAGCTCAATTTATTACTGTAACTAGAGAAAAGTTCTTCTAACCTAACCATCAGAGGACGCCATTCAAACAATATCGAACTACTCGAAACTGCTGTATTTCGAAGTTCTCGTCTCTCAGCAGCATTGTTTAAACGCTCATGTAAAATCTAATTAACCGAAGAGCTCATATATGTAGCCTTCAGATCGGATCGAGCGTTTAAGAGGGTTTTCTCGTCGAAGCTCAATTTTCAGACTCATCCACGATATACTTGTTCAAGATCCTGCTGGGCAAAGAGCGCATTAAATCTCTTACGGTCATTCTTCGGATCTTGAGTCAGCTCATGAACCGCTGATAGCGTAGCGCTAACCAAACTCCCGCAAAGCCCAGCTAACCAGCAGTAGAACAAACGTTAGAAAAGTGAGGACCAAACCGCTCCCATTTCAACTTATAGGAAGCTATGTTGCCTTCCCTTGTCAGTCAGTTGCATGCGGCTCCACTGTAGCCCATACTTGTTTTATCATAAAGCGACTCAATGCTATTATTAACGAGGTCAGGCATTGCTTAACCAGTACTTGGAACGCATAGTTACTAGGATCAAGGCTAGTAAAAGTATAAAATTAAAGCGTGCTCGGGTTTCCCAATGCTCAGACAGTTGTTTATTTAGAAACCCAGTTTCAGTGAGTCTGTTAGAAGCTTTCGTGGTTATGCAGCTTCCGTCAATATCATTGCTAAACCGAGCAAGCCTTATTGAAATCCCCTTTAGCAGTAATGTTAAATAAAAGTTGATTGCACAGTGAAGTTGAGGTGCCAAATAAAGTCTTCACCAAACTGTACTCAATGGACAGGCAGTGCTTATGTTACTCACAAGCAACACAAAATTGAAATTCTTACTTGCTCGCTATGCTGGACTCGAGGGTCAATGGCAAGCTGCTTGAAGTTCACGTTGAAGTTGCATGATATGAAGATACATGTACTGTTGGCTAGGCGAACAAGTTGGCGATTGCGCGCTCAAATTACGCACTTCAATGAATACGCATTTTCCATACGAAATCTAGGGGCATGAGGGTGTGTAATTTTTTTGTGTTGTGTTTGTTTGCGTTCACAAAATGAATGGAATGCCGCCGCCGCTGCCTGCTATCAGTTATATACATATGTATGCTGTTCAAAGCTTTTTTTTTTTGTGGACTTGAGGGACCATTGCTGTGACTAAGCATAGCCGCAAGCGGTGTTACAATTGGCTTACTTTAAATATGGTGATACAGTAAATCAAAGCATTCTTAGTAAAACTTAATTTGCTTAAACAGAAGTTATTGTAAGTTAGCTAAGTGATGTCTAATCTTTTATTAAGGTATTATTGGAAGAAACAAAATTGAAATATTTCGACTTTGTTGGTTTACTTCGAAAAGCACAGAAATTATAATTTTCTCATGATTTAAGCTTTCGAAAAAAAATCGATTTGAGCCAATACCAAACCGAGTATCCTACCGTGAGATGAATAACCTTAAAATTAAATTCCTAGTTTTATCTAAAAGCAGTCGCTGAAAAATCCATATTCTTAAGCCTTTCCACTTAAGTAAAATTCAAACGCATTTAAGTGCGCCTAATTGCACATCGAAAGATGAAAGAAGAGTTGCACAAACAAATTTTGTAAATCAAGAAAATGAAGTAAGAAGGCGCAACATCAACCAGCAACCACAACTAAAACCACTAAAGCCGAATCAAAGTAACTCGTTGCCCAAGAGTATGGCAACCTGCTTGATTACTTTTTTCTACACAAACACTTTCTCTTCTCATTGCTGAGATTAAAAGTAGAATAGTAACATGATTTCCTTCCCCCTGTGCCTATTTTGTTTGGTGTTTGTTATTTTGCTGACCTTTATGGCAGAGGATTTGGTTTGTTTGTCATGTCTGTTTGTGTTTGTTTTTCACAACTTGAATGTCGAAGTGGTTGCAAATAGTTGGATGGTTGATTTACTGGTTGGTGCCGCATAAGCAAATAACTAGGAAGTCTGACGTAAATAGTTCACAATGCAGTTGTAAAGATGAGACGGATATTTCTCGAAGGAAAGTGATTTACCATTTTGCTGGATATTTTTCCATTCTCCACTTTCAAAAGCATGTTTCGAAGTAATCCAACAGAAGGAGGAATTATTTTTAAACCGCCTCCAATTGACGAAGGCATATCCAGCCTCGAAAGCGGCCAAATCTGTTGATTGCATCCTGAACCAACTTTGTTTACAAGTACAAAATTACTTTGCCGAGTTCATTCTGGTCGTTTTTCGATGCAAAAACAAAAAATTCTTCATTGGTTATGTAGAGCGATTAGTGGTTAAGAGTTTCACCAGGCTTTCAACCTTCTGTTCATACCAAACACAGATCGTTGCGATCTTACCAATTCCATCAGTTTTTGCATTCGATGTTGTTGGTTGTCCGGGATTAACCCATGATTTTCTGCGTTTAGGATTATAAAAATAAATCCAATTTTTATTGCCAGTGACAGTTCGATGCAAAATTGATTTTATTTCATGTCTTTGTGGCAAAATTCCACAATTTTCCGAATTTAGAATTTTAAGATGGTTCTATACAGAGTTGTTATTTTTCTAGCGGCATAAAAAGCAAGTAAATTCTTATCACAACCATCTAATGAAAGGCCAAGAAATGCTACGATGCGGTCGAACCATAGATCGATGTTGCAAAGTTGCAAAGAGGTGGTTAGAGTCTTGCGGGAACTCACAGCACGCAGGACATATATTTGGTATTTGGGAGTCGATTTTGCAAAGATTTCGTTAGGTTAATCTATAGGGTAATAAGGCGCGCTTAGACCAGTTTTGCTCCTTTGCGATACAAGATGAAATTCAGTTGCTAGGTCCAAGAGAAATAGTCATCCTTCAGGATGCCTACGCTTGACGCGAGTTTTAACAGATTCTGTACCCTCACTGTTGATAGCTCCTCCAGTGTATCATACCGTGGGAAGTCCAGATGCTTACAGCGTAGTCTTGCCAATGTGAGACAAATGCACAAAAGATGCTTATTTGTTTCCTCGGTGTCCTGCTTTAGACATTTCCTGATGTCTTCTCGATCTGTCCGTCCCATCCTGCGAGCGTGTGCCGCCAACAGACGATGACCAGTTGGCATTCTCATCATGTTCCCACAGTTTCTTCGATCAAGCGCCAATAGGAATTTTGTGTACTGCCGATCTACCCTTTTGCACATGACTTTTGCAGTTTGCACCCAGGTAGCTCGTTCCATCGGGTTTAGAGTTACTATTCTTCTGTCAAGATGATCGTATAGACAATACATGGGTTTCCTAATTTTTTTCACGTTTTCTAATTTTGGCTATACACTATTCTTGGTAATCTGTTCCACTATTTAATTGTTCTCGATGCCTTTGCGGCCTGGCACCCAGCAGAAGTGAAGTTGGTTACTTCTCGCCGCACTTTGCACTGCTGTCCTCTTCCCAAGACACTGCTAGCTGATATGCTTTGATTGCTACGGTATAAGAAAAAAAGTTACACAAAGCTTACTCCAGATTCGTGAGGTAATCTGGGGATCTCTTGCTGCAATGGATGGTAGTTTGACTCCAAGGACGCAAGCAGTCAAAATTGTTGCGCTTGTAATATCGTCGATAAATTGAAAATGTCGTCGACGTAGTCAGGGAATGATATCTCAATGCGCCCAGGAGACGATTCCGCTCCAATCAGATTACAGCAAGTATGATATTTACGACAGCATAACTATTTATAGAGGAATGATTTGCGTTCACTAAAAGAAAGCATATAGGCCTCACTTCGATGAGCGACATCAAGAGGTAACCTGTTATTTAAAGGGAGTTCAGTGTTCCCACACAACTGGACCTTCTTCATCTGCGTTGCACTACATAGAGGCCATCATTCCAGTACTGCGTAATTATTGATCGACCGACTAATTTGATAGCAAACTTATATATGTACTTTTAATTCCGTTTCCACGATAGTCAAGTCTAAGTAATCCGAACGAACCCGATTTTACAACCGGCCAATGAATGTCAATTCGGCATCATTTCTCGAAATTGCTTAAAGAAAGTTTTTCGCCACTGCAACCAAAACTCTCATCTAAGTTTCTGATTCCCATTCGCGAAAAACGAGCACGAACACAATTTCATTTCTCTGATTTCCAAATGTATTTTTCATAGAATTCATATTGTAACAAATATAAAGAATTGTGTGTCTAAAGAGCTCTCAACTTGTTCTAAATATATTTACCGTCGTGTATAAGTTCACAGACATCTTAAAATATTTGTTATATTTTGTACGTTTTCTTGTGGAAATAAATGTTATATAAAAGCGTTCAAAGCCAAGGTTATGTAGCTTC